AGTGCTATAGAGGGATCAATGTTCCCAACAATAACAATGGAGAAAGTTGATGGATCCTTGAAACATTTGTTGAAATATTCACAGGCTTTCAATGGATCAACTTTCCGAAGATCACTTATTCTAATAGGCTGCAAAATATATGATTAACCCAGAATTATAACTAGAACAAACCACATGAATGAAAACTACAATGAACTCAGAATGGGCATCGTACTCTAAAGAAATAGGAGTTTCCATAGTTGAGCTCCTTCACACGGTTTGCAAATGCAGTGTAAGGATCCCTGTCTTGAGCACGGACCACTTCTTCTGCCATTTGCATCACTATTTTGACATCTTCTTCTCCTGGTGTTACATTTGTCGTAAATAGTTGATAGACAAGCTGCCAGCACAAACATTGCAAAAGGTTTGCAACTTAAGAAAACCTTGCAAAAACATGACAAATAAAAAGAACTACAGGATAAAGAGAAACCATTATTATTATTTTTTTAATATTTTAAATTTCCATCCTACAATACTCCGTTAACATTGTGATCATAATGAGAGAGAGAGAGAGAGAGAGAGAGAGAGGAGGCATACCTGCAAAGCAGTTTCCAAGTCTGAGGGTGAACAATCACCAGAAAAGGTTCTCATATATGCTCCAAGTTTTGTGCTGACTTCTGCTCTCTTACCAGCAAGCATATCCATAAGAACTGAAGGTCTATAGCCATATACGCCAATTTCTCCTGCAATGGTTGGTCCCATTGAGCAAGAAAAGTACTCACTTTCAGGAAGTTCGGATAAACCCCCATATGAGAACCCTGTAAAGATAACCTATCAAAACAAAGTGTCGATAAGAATTACAAGCCAACAAAATTACTAGACATACTATACAACTTTCAGATCTTTGGTACTACCATACATGAGAACGGAAAGCCATTATATGAGATGGAAAATTTCTCTCCTAATGATTGGAAAGGAACAATATCATATATAATAGTTCTTTTAGCCTTGAATTAATAAATGTTCATTTCATGCATTGGAAATAGAATTCCTTCCTTTCTCTTTCACCCCTAGTTCTAAAGACTACAGATCAATTAGAATGATGAATGTCGTCTTATGTTCATAACTTCAACTACAAAAAAACAAGTGACATATTGACAGAGCTTTAGAGCTAAACTCATAGAATGAGATCCACACAGTTTTTCCCCAGACATTGAACTACAGATATTGCATTGCTTTCACAAAGTTCCACCTGGTCATCAAGGAAGTTTGTACACTTATAGCAAACTCTCAAGCCATTTGATAGAACTAACTCAGTAGCTCCAATTTTTGAATATTCCAACTCCTGCACTATATTCCTGAAACAAATAATTTAAAAAGGCTAAGAATACTGAGATATCAGAAAACGGTTTAAGAGAATTCATAAAGCTGATAATAAATGTAGAATACATAAGAATATAAACTCCCAACAGAAAATGAAACAATTTTATGCCCTTATCGAATACAAGCAAGCAAAAAACAGAGTTTGCTGCAGAGAAGAGATTTTCATGTGAACTAGAAAACACAAGCACACACAAAGGGGAAAGAACAAAGCAGAAATAACACCGATATGGTGATATGCATTTCTAAGAAGTTAAGGTCCAAAATTACCCTGGATTAGGTTTTGTATTAACAATTTCCTCTGGAATCTGTTCATCATCCCAAGGAGAAATGATTCTTTTTTCCTCAAGATCATTGATCATTGATACAACATTTTTTAGATCACCGACTGTTGCAGAAGCTCGTGGCTCAATTGTCTTAATGACACAGCTGCATGATGTTTGTAACTTTACTGCATATTTGGATATCTCTGCTGCGGTTATCTCTACAGATGTAAAAGTCATGGTGAGACGAGCTATACATTTGTTATATAATAAATCAGATCATTACATGTAGATATGCAATGACTCACGAGGTAGAAGAGTCTTCTGGAGTTGAGCTTCATATTCAATCCCAATAACAGGTTCATTGCGGAGAAAATGCTACCAAAGGAACATAAAGGCAAAACATTTTTCCAAATCAATACAAACGTCATATTATAAATTGAAAGTTTACAAGAAAGCTACAATTTGGAAATACCTGTAAATATTCATCTCGCAAGCTAGTTGATTGCATTTGATCACGCTCCAAATAGGCAGATTCAATCTCAGACATCAGTAAAGCTCGAACAATAGACACTTCTCGTTCTGAAAACCCATGTAATTGTACCCTTGCAACCTGAAGGTAAGGTGTCATTATAATTAGTTCCAAATTAAAAACAAAACAAGTAGAGTTTTTGTGTAGGATGAAAAACATGCCTCAGTCAGCATTGATTCTAGGGCCTCAATAGTCCCTTTTTCTTTACAGGATGAAGTCATTATATAAGCCTTCAATGGATTAACAAGAACATCTGCGGAAGCTGAGCATGAGAAAAAGGGGGGGTCCTTCCTACGAGCTATCTTAAAGAACCTCTGGTTTAGTGCATAAAGGAACATGGACTCTGCCAGCAAATCCCTATAGTCCCTCACTGTATTCAGCTCACCAGCTGCCATCTTATAGCTAATAATTACTGCAGACTGCTACAAGCGAATTTCAATGTTAAAACTGAAAATTCCACGTATATCATTTGCATGTCCATGAATGTGCAGATCAATTGGTACAAACAAGATTGAGATTTATTTCTGTACTAACCCCAGTAGCTTCAGATTCAACAAAACATGAAAAACGTGGCTCTTCATGAGATGGAACTGTATATCTTGGTATAAGAGGCGGCTCAGGTGATGAAATTTTATGTCCGAAATGATTCTTTATCAACTCAACTACACTCTGAGAGAGAGAGAGAGAGAGAGAGAGAGAGAGAGATTGTTAAGGCATCTTGACTACGAAACAACTCTTATAATTCCAAAATGAACATTAACATGTTGACAATACCAAACCTGGGTATCAGAGAAATCTCCAACAGCTATCACTGCCATGTTGCTTAAATGGTACCACTTACTATAGAATTGCTTCACAGTCTCAGAAGAAACATTTCGAATCACCTTCTCTAATCCAATCGGTAAGCGGTCAGCGTACTGCAATGAAAAGAAGGTTCTTTTATTTTGGTAAAAACAAAAGAGGGGTCTAAGAATAACATAAGATTGACAAAAAAATTTCAAAATTAGGACTACAAGTTTACCTAGGTCTTAGACTTCAGCACACATAGCAGAGAAAATTAAAAAAAACTTAAATTCATGTACTTTAGCTTAGCAACATCCTTCTACTTAATATAACATTAAAGAAATGATGTAAAACTAGTTCCAAGTTCCAACCCTCTGTGGTAATATGTGTGCATGGTACATTGTTCTATCACGGACCCCTAAATCTAAGACTCAATTGCATAGTCAGAATGTTGTAGGAGGCGCATAAAAACATTACAGGTGATGGTTCATCAAAGAATAAAAAATCTCCTTATCAAGTTAGTCAGGGATTATAAGCTTCATAGTAGCGGTACCTGTGAACCTTCCATCATCAGAATCCAATGTGCATCCTGCATCCTTCCTGTAGCATTCCGGTTCCCTCTGTATTCTTCCATAACCGCACCTCTTTCTCTTTCTAGATCCTCTTTTGAGACACGAACCTGCACGTTGCATGTAATTAAACCAGAGAGTAAAAATTGTTGAGAATTACCAAACAAGATAAACTTTGTTTATACCTCAGAACTGAATTCAGCCAAGACTGAAATGGCCTGAGATAACAGTTCATGCTTATCAACAGGAACAAACAACTCGTAAACAGTGTCATCGGCCGATGTCGCTGCATTCTGACAAGCGCCAAATTCTGCCCCAATACTTTCAAGAAATCTGATTATATCATGATTTGTGTATTTCTCAGTTGCACTGAAAGCAAGATGCTCAACTATGTGAGCAACCCCTCGTTCGTCCTCCTCTTCCAAAACTGATCTGCCATGAACCCAATAATATAACAATCCTTTATAAATTTAGGGATATATACATACATATATGAAAGGTTTGAACCTATTTATCTAGTTAACGAGATAAAATGCTAACTCTACATATGATATAACTTTCCAACTCACGCACATAATATATTGTTGTGTCATTATGTGCATTTCAATTCCATGTTATTCAATTTCAGTTATTTAATCATCCCAATGGGGGATGGACAAATCTTTCATCTTCCTTTACTCACTGCATTGTTCGGTTTCAGCAAGTATAATTGAAATTTCAGTTTATTGCCTTGTGGATCAAATTACATTATCAGAATCCCAGAGTATAATAGCAAATGACAGTTCCCCCACCACGTTCACCAAAACCCACAGTGAAAGAAACCACTAAATTAAGCACAGAAACACAATTGCCCAAGTAACACCAATCAACGACTAAATGCACAGAAGCAATAAAGATAAAGAAAAAAATTATAAACCAAAAAGCAGTTGTACCCGACTTTGACAGCAAGAGCGAGCGCTGCTCTCATTCTGGGCTTAGAATTACAACGAACATAGTAACATAGACCATTGTCAAGCTTGCCATAGTCAACTCCAACAGGTTGTTCCCCAAGAACTTGGTCCATGTCTACGTTCACCAGCTTCAATGACCTGAACCCATGTTTCTTCTTCACTATCTTTGAGGTCTCTGCCGGAAGCAAATCCATCTCTGTGTCTCCCTCTTGAAATTGGGAAATTGGGACTCACTTAAAAGTTTCAGTCTTTCAGATTTCAGTTATTTGTTGGCAAAGAAAGAATCTTTATAATAATAACACCATAATAGTGTTTGTCAAGACAGAAAAAACTCGAAAGCTACGAACTGCTACTTCTGTGTCGTCTTTTACAATTCGAGAGCTCTCAGCTTTGACTGTGATGCCATCAGACCTTGCACCACCATGATATTGCCACGTCAGCGCTCTCATATTGGGCCTGAGCCCATTAGGAACAAACTTGGGCCCTTTCTTTTCCCTCTAAAGAAGAAGAACTTGGACCTTTCACCGCTCCACAGTTCCCAAATTGATAGTCTTCTCTTCAGAGTCTTTCACTCTTGAGCTGAGCTGCGTTCAACTTTCATCACCGCAGTCTACAGAGGCGCACGTTAAGGTGCTCAAGAGAGACGCTTTTGCTAAAACACGACGGTATTTGAGAAACCATGCTTATCCTGCACACCTGCGCGCCTGTTCTTCAAAGTCCCAACACTTCCTTATCCTTATTTCCCAGCAGCACAAGCCCCTTCCCGCCATTTTGTACAGTTAAGCTTCCATTTCGGAGCTTTTATGCACAGCCGGGCCAGCCCAGGAAGTCTGTGTTTGTGGCTAAAGCGGGTCGAGGCCTAAAGTTGAAGACAGAAAAAGTGAGTGAAGGAGAAGACTATAAAGAACATGACTTTATTGATATAGAGGCTGAAGTTGAAGCTGAATCTGAAGATAGATTTTCAGGCCGAGGTGGGTTCACAGGGAGAGCGGAAGAAAAGGACTTTGATCGAGACCCTGAGTTTGCTGAAATTATGGGTGCTTGTCTTGATGACCCACAAAAGGCTAGGTCCAAGGTAAACCTTTTTTTTTATTTTTTGGGTTTTATTTTAAGGTTTAAGGAGTTTTTATGTGTGAACATTGACAGAGGTTTAACCAAATTGCAGATGGAAGATAGGTTGAGGAAGAAAAGGAACAAGATATTGCACACAAAGTCTGGTTCAGGTGTACCCATGAATGTGACATTCAACAAGTAAGTTCAGATGGTGTTGGAACAGAAAGCAATTTGTCAGTGTGGGTTTTGGTCCATTTTCTAGCTTGTACATGCTGGGGATGCTTAGTATAAACAAATGATCTTATGCTAATTATTTCCAGAGGTTGTTCTTGTATGCAAATTGTGTAAACTACCTTTTTTTTTTTGGGGTTAAATAACTGTCTTATTTAAATTTTACTGATGAAACAAGATCATCAAGTGCATTTGTTTACTAACTTAGTCTTGGCTTCTGGCACAACCAGCTTTGGTTTCTCAAACTCATATATATGGTTTGAATTCTACAACACTCCATTGGAACAAGATGTTTCCTTGATCTCTGATGTAAGTACCTTATCCTCTTCTTGAAAATACATTCTTTGTAAATATTATCAAGTAACTTAGTTGATCTGGCGTGTCTACAGACCATTCGATCATGGCACATCATTGGACGCATGGGTGGATGCAATTCCATGAATATGCAAGTAAATTTTCAATTACCCTATAAATTTCCGTTTTAAACTTTGCCGGCCATAGAAATATCATACATGACTTCATATCAAGTTTATATACTGGAAAACAAAATGCAAGTTTTTGAGCCATAAATCCCCACCTGCTTTGATCTCATTCATGCAGTTGTCACAATCTCCTTCGGATAAAAGACCGAGTTATGATGCCATTCAGGGAGCAAATGTAACACCAACTACATTTTACAATATTGGAGATCTTGAGATTCAAGACAACTTAGCACGTGTTTGGTATGAGCTCAACTTGAATTTCATGATTTGGGACTTTATGGTGATGCTTAGTTAAATGCTGATGCTTTTTTGTAATTGGGAGGAATGGAAGTGTAGATGGTTCTTGCTCACCAATCTGATAAATTTTTGACAGGGTGGATATTGGCACCAGTGAACCGTTGCTACTGGATGTTCTAATAAATGCATTGACTCAGATAAGCTCCGAGTGCGGCTCTCAAATTCCTATATCTTCTACTGGATGTTACTTGTTTTAATGCCTTGGCCTAGATTCATTTGGAAGCTTCTTATTTCGTATATTTATTCTAACTCTTATTACTTGATGTCTGTTAAACAGCTTTGTTGGAATCAAGCAAGTGGTGTTTGGTGGGTCTGAATTTGAAAACTGGAAGGAGAACTTGACATCGGAGGATGCGGGTTACAGTGTTCACAACATTTAGCCAATTTGTTGTGCACCCAAGATTTATATATTATGCTCAGCGTCTGATGATTGAAGGTCTCAGACTGGGTACAAGGAACGGTCAAGATTAGAGATGCTGGCGTAAAGCCAAATCAATGATAAATTTCGGGTCGTGTACCTCATGTTTTGATCCTAAGAGATGCATATGGACTACTGCTGAAGGGGGAATATAAGGGAACTAAAATGGGAGCCATTTTCAACCCAGTAATTTAGCATGCAAAGGATCTCCTTATTTTCCCATTAATGAGTATATATCTTGTGCAAGTTTTTGTTCCAATATACGATACTTTGTACTAAACAGATATTACCTAAATTGACAAAGCGGATGTGAAAAAAGCAGGTGACTTGTTTTGTATTTGTAAACACGGATCCCATAACTTGATGCAAAATTGAAATAAAAATACAAGTTACTGAGAATGAAAACGACACTGACATGTTAAAGATGGCGTTAGCTGCTCAATTTCATTAGAAGTAATAAAGTTCTGCAAATATTCGAATAACAAAAGCTATGATGCAAGCCTCCGATATTCCAACCCGCAAACCACTTTCACCCTACAAATTGCATCAATTGGTAAAGTACAAGGGCATCGCCAAAATCGAAGTCCTTTATGATGCCTCAGCAACGATAGAGAGCTGCACAGACACTTTCTCAGCTATTGATTTGATCTCTTTCACTCTCTCATCAACTAACTGCTGGAGTTGCTCCTCCTGATTTGGTTGATTCTCATCTATCTGAACAGTACTAGCAGCTTCACCAGCTTGTGACCTGAACATCACAAATGACATCTCGGGTTCATAATTGCTTGGAACTTCAATCACTTGCTTCCCACCAGTCCCAGAATCTTTTCCGATGAGATCTTCCTTCATGCGATTAGAAATAATTCCCACAAAATCATCCATATACCTGTCCACATGATCAAGGCCGAGATAAAGGAAAACCTCCCAACACTGAAGAAACTGTTTCTTGTTGATTTTCAAACTTTTCCGGACATCCTCAATGACTCTAGTGTCTGGCATGAGTCGAGGAGTGTATGTCTTCTTCGACAATTTTCCTTGCTTTAGTTGCGAAACTGCTGAGCTGACTGCATGCTTGATTGGATCAAACTTATGAAGGCGCAGTACATCAACACAAGTGCGTACATGTTGAAAGTAATCCAATGGTTCTTCAACTGTGAGATCATAGACGTTTTCAGATATTACAACATCATTGAGAACCTCAAGAAGGTATCGTCCATAACCCTTGTGTTGATAAGGAGGCAATACCAATATCTGCCATCAACAAGGAGGCTTGTTAAAACTCAACAGCACCAAGATTGCACAAAAAATGAAATTTATTTGAAACAACTATGGAAGCACCAAGCTGTTTCTCTAGAGCATGCATAACTAGTGATATATACAAGGAGCAAACCTGACCAATCCGCAACCGAGAACTATCAGGATAATGGTAAAAACGATACACAGCTGTAAAACCAAGCAACACATTGTAGATTTCCCCCTGCTGATCTGTTTTCCTCTGGATCAGGACATACAACTCCCAGCTTGGATCCACAACATCAATTGGACTGCTACCTAATTCAAACAACAACAATTGATGTCATATTCTTACACTCCCCCTTCCCATCTTTTCTCCTTAAAAATAAGAAAATAACAGAGTGTTCTCTGATGACGTGAGATAGGTGACAAAATTACCATCAATAAGAAGAAGAACAAGAGGAATCAAGTGACTGTAAAGGTGTCCAGCAGCTGTCTTGCCCACAACCAAGCGAACAACCTGAAGTTGGCTGTTATTACAAAATGCAACACAAATTTCTAATATTTTATTATAGTACGAAAAAACAAAGATCTGCACATCAAAAGCACCTCCACATCAGACGTGGCTGCATTAGAATCATTTATTTGTCCATTGGAGGTCTTGTACTGCAACACCTCCCCATTTGAGACAATGGATCTGCACATGTTTTAAAGGTAGAATTCATGAAGTAAATAAACAAAGTTACAAAAACCCAAAAGTTATGGACATAATTAATTTTGATATTTGACCTATGAAAGTATTTCACCATTCATTACCTAATAAAATTCCTCTGTGTGGAAAAACTTTGTAGGAACTCCTCCTCACTCTCAACAAGGGTCAAACCAAAGATTTCCTGGAGAACACTACTAACTTAGCAGCCGAACTAACAGCATACTAAACTGAAGTGACAGTTTAAATTGGGAATCAATCCATACCTGAAGAGTTGATTTCAAATCGGTGATCCCTTTGCCTCCCTTGTAACATTTAACCATTTCAATCAGCAATATGACAGAGACAGTGCTAGAAGGATAAGCAATAGGCAAAGTTGGCAAATAGAACAGATTGATGTACACACAAAGAGAGAAGGGGCAATAGAATGCCAACACTTACATCAGTTGTGCTCTCAAATGCAATATCAGCAAAGGCATGAAATGAAATACTGCTAACCCATATGGTAATCTGCATTGGATGGAAGATAATAATGAAGCCATGTTAAATCATTCTGTTCAGACTATTAAAATAGTTTAAACATTATTTGCACCAGTGAAGCAAATGATATGAAAGTAAACTTCAATTAAAATGTACAAAGATTACCTTCAGTCCTTTGTAACCATATATCTTCCCCTCATCAAAAAATCTATCCAAGTCAACATCATCTAAACAAAAGTTGTTTGAAGCACCCACTTCCTCTTTGCTAGAAACTGTGATAGCAGCCATTGATTAAGCACACAAGTAAGCTAATGATTGAGATATTATAAAGAAAATACATTGGATTTAAAGCAGAGAATTCGATTCCTGAGTCAATAAGGATAAAAATATCGACAAAAAGTAAGTTTAATATCACATTCCACAATTAAAATTTTCCAACCAATCTGAAAATGTATAAAGCACGCAATTGCATCTATTTTTAACATCCTCCATATAAATTACTAAGCATTCACGTAATCTCAACTCATACATGTGATTAAATCATTTTCCAGTCACCAAAATCATCACGGCTTGGTTGCTGACTGAATGTTAAACTCAAGTCCAATATAATCACATCTACGAAGTTTCTAGTTCCACGTTTTCTTATTAATCAATAACCAAATAGCTAAAATGGGGTGAGTTCACAAATTTATTTTTTTTAAAGATAAAGTTTCTGGCCGAGGCTCCAACTTTACTGAGCCACCAAAAAGCTCATTAAGTTAATGTTCAACCAAACAATCTCAATCAAAATCCCGAAAAGGGAAGTTACCTAAAACTAAAATCTAGCTTCACTCAACAATATCAAACAGTAATATCCGGTAAATGCGCATAAAACCCATCATACCTAGGTAAATATTGATGCAATCTTTGGCGTCTACTCCAGCATCTGCTCCCAAACCCACAAAAGCACACAAAAATTAGGTCTAAATTAAGTACCAAAACATACAAAACAGTAAGGAGAAGAGAACATAGTGGTTTATGGAACTAACGGAAACATAACTTGGAAAACAGAAGTGAAGAGGACTCACCGGGATGGGAGAAGCCCACACGACGTCGTTTCTTAGGTTCGGTGGCGGTGGGATCGGCGGTGGGTCCTTGCTTCTGGACCATTTTCTGGTTAGGGTTTCGGGAACTGGAAATGAGAGGGAGTGAGGCGGGAAAAATTACACTGTTACAAAATGGGGGGAATTGGGCATCATCGGTGATATTTATAGTGAAATTGGCAAAGATAAATATCACGTGATTTGCACGTGCGACGCATTCCAATTGTCAAAATTTATCTGGGCCACCATCCTAGCGGGCGGCCAGTTTATGTTTATTGGAGCCTTTGGTTGGTAGCTCTGCTTTTGCTTTTGCTTTTGCTTTGCTTGCTGGATCTTTGGGTTTTAATACAGAAAATTGGAGCCGAGCCCAAAATGTTGTTTTTAATTTTCAATTTAATTTTTTTTTAACGAAATTTTCAATTCAGTTTTGTTGATGGTTTTCCAGTGTTAGATCCTATTTTGGTGGCTGCATTCTCAAGGAAGTGATTCTACCATAGCAGCTTTTCAGTCCGTCGTGTTTGATTTTTGGTGTCAGTTTGATTTCCTGCAGGATTCTTCCGGGAAAATTGAGATCATAAACCTTCTATGATTTCCGAATAGTACCTCCCTCAAAAGAAAAACTGAAATCACTTACCAGGTGATACTATGTTTTTAACACCAAAAAAATTTGGCTTAAGATAAAATAGATAACCCAGGAAATGATGACAAAAATATAGGCACACATTCCTTATATCTTGCATTTGACCTGGTAAACTTGAATTTGGATTTAAATTGTCATTCAACCGCAAGAATTGCATCCCGAAAATCTATGATTAAGATATTTCTGAAAATTACCAAATCAATCTTCAGCAAAACTTGGTGATAAGGAAAAAAACACAAACAGGGACCTTCCCTTTTTCAGTAAAAGGGCAAAAGTTTCCACATTCTTCTGGAGATAAATATAAAATGGGAAATCATGTCTCTCTGAACCTGGAAAAGTAAAACTAAAAACACCAAATGAACATAGTAGAACGATGACACATCTTCCCCACTATCTCACTTCCTACCAGGGGTCTTGACAGCCTGCCTATTCCTCTTCTTGACACCAGACTTGGAGACCTTGAGACTCCTGTGAACAACACTAAGCCTGGCAAGGGCTGCTTTCTTCAAATCGGGTCTATAGAAATTATCCGCCACCTGGAACAATTTACAATTAAAAAACAATTTAGCTAGTGCAGATATCAAAACTGTAGGAAACAAAATGCAACTTTGTGCCCTACAATGAGGGGAAAAAAAAAAGGCGAATCACAAAAATCCATATGTTTGACACAAGAGGGCTTAAAAGAAACATACTTTTCCAGATCATGCAGAACAATTTCAAACCATTAATTCTGTTATGATCGCATGATTTGTGCAGAAGAGAGAGCGTTTATGTTAAACCCGGGCTAGGAATTATAGACACTCATTAAACTGGATAAGTTATTACTTGAATGAGAGGCTCCAAACATAGTAAGATCATATCAAATGTACCAGAAAACATTGAAAGGCCATTTTCATTTTTCTTTTGTTCTCACTAAATTTGGGTCTTCAAATACCATGTCAATTTTCGGGTATAAAAGAGTGCTCAGAAGCCAAGCGTAACAATTGTATTTCATTGAAAATCCCACACAAAGTGGGATCTTCTTACGTGTTAGCTGCTCATCACTGCTAAAAAGTAACAAGGCGGCTGATTAACATGTTAACAACCGTGGCTACACAGATAATAAAATAGAGTTAACCTCTATTGCATTCAAGCATTATTGATATTAAGCATATTAATAATTCAACTCAAATAG